AATAGGTGAGTGCAATTACATCACTTACATCAATTACAACCATAGTCTTTACTGGAAGCTTTATTAACTCTTTATTGGCAATTCATCATAACTTCCAAGAAAAATTAACCAAGGTGCAGTACAATTGTTTTTGTTTTGCCACTGATTTCCTGAAGAGGTGAGACGAAAATGGTTGAGCTTTTCTTCCAATTCCATTGAGAAAGATGACCAAGGTGGAAGTGTCCTCCTCTCCTACTGCTGTTGCTGCATGGTGAAGAGCTGTCCCATTACAATCGGGATTGAAAATCATGAGAGAGATTGAAAATCTCCCTGATTAAAGATAGGACTGCATAGTTGATTCTTACAATTGCTGGTTAGTAAGCTGCACTCCTGTAGAAAGTTGAATTGGCAAAATTCTGTGATATCATGACAATTTAACTAACAATGACAATGTTTTTGAAGTTACCTGCTGAGGCTGCTTGTGTACAATCAAGCACCTTGTGAAATTTGGTTGAAGGGTCAGGGCCTGGTTTTATGGAATATTCCAGTTAATGTGCTTCTATTCTACCTCCTAGTCAGTTGTATAGTGCCTGGGGGCTTAAGAGCTTGCAAGAGGCCACTCACGGCACAACTAGTCTATATTCACCCAAAACAATAAGGGGAGAAGGAAAGTCAGGAATGGGAGGAAAAACTGAAGTGTGTGGCTAATTGCTTCCATGAACACCTGCTTTTTGGCCATGAGATCAGAAGCACTAGATGGTGCCTGGCTACCATTACTGAACATTTTGATCAAAGAATCCATAGCAGAATCCTGATCAAAAGGGAGGAAATGTAGACTAGATTGTATTCATCTGGACTCTAGACTTTCCAGAGCTATGGAAGGTGAATGAATCCTTAAAACTATTACCCTAAATAAGAACCACTAAGCCTTCATCAAAAATATCCCCTGAAGTCTTCTTAAAAACCAAACAAGTGGGGTTATTATCTATTTTTTGTTGTATCTTTGGAACAGTAACAACAAGCTAGCTCCCAGAAGCTGATACGAAGGGCTCAAGTAGAAAGGAAATGTTTTGAAAATGATGATGGCAACCTATGTACAAATGTGCTTGACACAATGGATATATGTATGGATTGTGATAAAAGCTGTAAGAGCCCCCAGTAAAATGATTTTTTTTTAAACTATCCATACAGAATCAAAGTGGTAACAGCAACTCTAAAGATTAGATAGGAACATTAAGTGGGGGTATTGCACTTGTATTCATGAAGGAGGAACAACTCAGACAAGGAGAATGAGAATGATCGTACAACTTAAAAGATGTCATTGATGTCATTTACTTGTATGTGTAGAAGTGGTTGAAGGGTAGATGTTTTGTGTGTATTCTCAATAACAAATAAAGCTGGTGGTGGTGGCTTCATGTCAGTCTCTACTCACAGCAACCCCAAGGACAACAGAACACTGCTCCCTCGGGAGCCTCCTCAGCATGGCTGGAGCTCATTGTTGCAGCCATTGTGTCAATCCCTCTCAACAAGTCTTCTCGGTCGCTACCCTCCTACTTGTCTGTCACTCCGTCGTACTCTGATGCCTTGAGGGTTGCTATGATTCTGGAAGCTTTGTCACCGATATTTCAAATCCCAGCAAGGTCACCCACGGTGAACAAATGTCAACTGTGCTTCTAGACAAAGACTCAGCTATGAAGAAGGAATAGACTATCCACTTCAAAGAATGAGCTACTAAAAATCTTATGAATAGCAGCAGAATATTATTAAATAAAATTTAGTATGGGGGAAAAAATCAGTAACAATCTTTCCTTGTACATTTGTTTTCCAACCAGATGTGTGTACATGTCTTATAATTCTCAAGGATGCCTGTGTGTGCGTGTGTGTATACGTGTGCATGGTTCCTATAAGATACTGTACATTGTTGTAAGATCCTCCCCAATAAAATGATTAATTAAAAAAAATTGGGAGACCAATTTAAAAAAATGTGTTTGTTCTTTTCACTTGGCCAGAGTATTTTTAATAGGCATGCAATGAGGTGACTATATGTCTTAGATAATCACACATAAGAAGAATCTAAACTTGACGACCTAACGCAGAATCGAACCGTAGGGCTGGAAGGCACCCTTTTCAGCTGATCACATGAGCCTGAGATGAGTTGGCTTCCATCTAGGTTTTTGGATTATTAAAAACCTTTTTTTTTTTTAATTTTTCAGATCGACTTGAAAGAAACAATTCTAAATAGAGAAAAAAACTAAGTTTAAATTTTAAAAAATTGGAAACAACCTAAATGTGCAAGGGGGGGGAGTTAAATTGTTCATCCCTATGAACATTAAAAAACTATGTTTATGAAGACTGTGAAATAGCATGGAAACTATTTACTATAAATCTTAAATAAAAACAGCAGGCCAGAGCAGCTCGAGAATGATTACAAGAATATGATGAGTCAAGTGGGGGCGGGGGCACAGGGCACTAACCCTCCCAAGGGGAGAGAAAGAGAAAAAAAAAAAGAATATGATGAGTCACAAAAAAATGGGGGAAGCACACAAAAATAAATGAGTGATGATTGCATTAGGAGGGGTTGCACAATGGAGGAAAGCACTTTTTCTGCTTTTCAAAAAGAATTTTAATGCATATGTTCAATTTTGATACTTTATTTTAAGATGAATAATTTAAAAACAAATCCATCTCAGAAAGCTGAGTACAAAAATGTCTTTCTTTTGTCTCCATGTTTACTGTATTTCTCTTATGCTCTACATTTCTCTAGCTTATAAACTCGATTTTTTTATTCATTTTATCGGGATTTCTTACACATATCACGACATTCCATAGTTCAATCACATCAAGCAGTATTGCACAATTGCTACCACAGTCGGTTTCCAAACATTTTCTTTCTTCTTGAGCTCCTTGATATCA